AATGAACGTTTGCAAGAAAAGAACCAAGCTCAGAGAACCCCAAGGACTCCACTGATCCTTTTTCACTTGCAATCCTGGAGGCTTTCTGTTAGTCAGAACTGACAATATACTAGACTAGACAATGCATGTAGAGGAGCTATATTAGTCTACGATAGCCAGAAATCAGGAGGAATCTGACAGCACTTTTTCAGACTAATACATTTCATTAAAAGGCTTAAATTCAGCTGGTTGGCATAAATTGTGCAATTGGCTGGCCACTGTGAGAACAAGACTGCTGGCCCAGGGATCTAATCCAGCAGAGTATTGCTGATGTTCTCGGACTGGAGAAAGTTGATTTATCCATCAATAAATATACTCCAAAATCACATCAAGTCCAATGGACATCTGCCACATTCATCCACACATTCTCTGTACTAATAAAATTCAAAGAAAGCGAATGGCCTCGGACAGGAGTTACATATTGCACCTAACTATAACAAGACTTGTTTTGTCCTGGCTTAGCATTTTATATGAACCTAGCCAACTGTGGTTCATTCCACAAACCATGGTTAAAATAAACCATATCTTAGTACTGTGGGAACCCAGTAAATATAAAGGTTTGAGATCAGTATTATACTGAACATAGTTGTCAGGCTTCTCTCTTGGATGATAAAGCAAAATACTGCAGGAATCTATTTCCCAAGATAAATGAAGGTTCACGTATTGTAGCCAAACTATAGAACCATCATGAAAGAACTCCAGAGATTGCTGGGTATCAAATGCAAGCTCTATTTATTCTACAACAAACTGTTTGTACTTCTTTCTCCCACCTGTCTATGTGATAGGCTAGAAGAAATTCTCTTTGGGTAGGATATAATTTCCATCTGTTCCTTGTTTTAGGCACAGCCTATTCTAATATTGTGTTGTTGACTTTTGACTGCGTGACAACTATCTTTCACAGTAATAGGAGTTACCGTATCTTTTTGTGTCAATTTTTTTCTCTTCTCTGTTTCTTCCATTACAACAACAGCACTTTCTTCATCCTGGTCTTCTTGTGGATCCAGAACCTTAGGGAGAATTTTACTTTTATCAAATTCCAACATGTTATCTCTGAAGAGACACAAAGCAGTCGTCTTCTCAGAGCACGTCTGCTACAACATAGGTTTGCCTTGACTGAATCAAGATGAGGATCCTGCAGTCTTTCAGGTGCTGCTGAACATTAGTAACACCTTGCTGTTTTAGTCTTTGACCATGAAATTAATAAATAATGTTAAACAACAACTGGCATGGTCAATAGGTTGCTCACTCCCCAATGTAAATGAAGTTTTTCTTCAGCAATATCAGTTCATCCGTATTCAAGCATACAGATATGTAACCATCAATAAAAAGTTTCTATAATGATGTCTAACAGTTGAAGCACTTTATTTATCGTATTAACTCTCACCATTTCTTTCAAAGGGCAATATCGGTCTGTCCCATTCTCCAATTTTACATTCAAAATAAACCTGTAAATATGTTTCTGCTTAGATATACGTAGCTGGACCAAATCACCCGGTGAGCTTCAGGGCCAAATGAGGATTTCAACCTAAGTTTCCCTGATCCCAGGCCTTACATTTCAGACAGAGAATCAAGCACTCTGAAAAACTAGAACTCACATCTAGGATGAGCTGCAGGGCACCCTTTGTCATGTGTTGGCAGACAAGCCCAAACACATTTTTACAGACCCGTCGAATCAGCCCACTAGACTGGGTTAGGAGGGAAAGCAGGACCTCCACAATCACTTCAACCCATGCTGGCTCCTCTTCACCATCTGAGCAAAACAAAACAAACAAAACCACATAATCAGCACTGATCTCTGTAGACCAGTCTTTCCAAATCTTACGTCCTCCAGATAATTTGGGAAGGCATCTTGCAGATCTTCAAATCACCAATGATCACGCCGGCTACAAATTTAAGAAGCCATCATCCCAATGCAACCGAGGGGCATGAAGTCAAGAAGGCTATTATAGCCAACTTGGGATGGAAACTCACCAGTAGCAACTGCCTTCTTCTTCTTGAGCTTCTCACCAAAGGCCCTCTTGATGCAACTCTGGAGGTCATTCAGAAGGTTCACACACTCTGCTGGAGACTGGTGTGAATTGCAGGATCCAAGAGAAAAGAAGAAAGCAAACCCATTAGTATTATGATGACTGCATTTTTATCTTGTTTTTCTTCCCAGAAAGGTCAGGGCCACATACAAAGTTCTCCTCTCTGTATATAAAACAGGTTAAGATTGGAAACCATAATGCCCTTTGACTTGAAGGTACCTGAGGATAAGGGCTTCCAATTTCCTAAAACTGAAATGCCAAGGCATTCTGCAAACCTGATATGTTAGATATTCCACAATCACATAATACACATGCAGATACTGGCTTGGACATTTGGAGATGCAGTTCAGATTTAGCAGCTGGAAATTTTGCTTGCTTGCTTTATATATGAAAATGTTTTAAATTAATGACTAATCAGAGCATTCTATGAGTACTGTATCTATCTGTGTTTGCACTTACAGAAAGGCAATGTAGGCTTAGTTTACTGGGAACAGGCATCACCTTAGCTGAGTAGCTAAGAGGAGTGGAGGAAATAGGTTTGCAGAAGGTGCTACTCTGCACACAAGCAAAAAGCCACAGGGGAGGAAGCCAGACAATGCAAGCTTTTACTAGAGATACACAAAACTTTCTGCATGAAAGGCTCTGGTTTCAAAATGTTCCTTTTTTTCCCAGGTACTTCCCATTTTTCTCTGGAACAGTCTGATCTCAGCATTGCTAAGAGCAGTTTGTGTATTTACAAAAATGGATTGGCCAGAAAAGGAAATGGTTTGTAGTATTCCAGTTGTTTAATGGGAGAAAAACAGAACATTTTGGAGCCAGATCACTCCTACATGGTGCATTCAGTACATCTCTACCACTCATACACATCCCCCAGAAAATACAACAAAGCAAAGAAAACGTGTGACTAGAAGCAGTTGATAGAAGAGGGGGACTCTGAAAAAGAAGCGCCTTGAAATCAGCCAGAAATGTATGAGGGACAAAAGCTGTCTGCTAATCAGCTCGACCTCTTTCCTATGACCTGAAGTTACGGAATTGTCACAGAAACCAGGGAGCAAATGAATCTTACGATTCCTAACCAACAAATTATTCTTCACCCCAGGTAAATTATTACTAAGAGTCAGGAATTTGAGTGAATTCAGAGCTACACCCAAAGGCCTTCTGGCATGCTTGACTTTACCTTGAAGAGGTGAATGCCAACTAACAGCAGCAGGTGTTGGAAGGCAGAGGTCTTTGTGCTCTGGCTTTTTTTATCTCTTTTTTTCAGGGCTTCCACGGTCTGCAACATCCTGTGACAAGGAAACATCATGTTTGAGACTCAACAGTTATGCACTCAATTTCACTTCTGCACCACCTGCGGTCACAGAATCTCAGAACTTTCACAATAAGGTAAGATGCAAAGACAGCTAATTAAACAGGATCAGCAGAAAGTCAAAGGCCCAGCCTTTTCCTCTCTTTTCATTAGGAGGATGGCAAAGGATTGTGTCTTTGCCCTGACTGTCTGAGCTGGCTGTGGAAAACTAGCTACAAACACTCAGCAAAGGCAAATGAGTATAATGATGGCAAGCAAAGGGTTAACCCTTCAGTCCCACCCACTGACCCCATCCTGGGTGATCCGGAATGGCTGGGAGCCTAGAAGAGTAAGATGGAACAATATGGAAGCCTCAGTGTCATAGAGAAGTTGGAACAGGCTAATCTTCCTACTAAATGGCCAATTTTTATATGCAGGGACTTCGTTTACAGTACATTTACAGGTAGTCCTCGCTTAACAACGGTAATTGACACCAGCAACTCTGTTTCTAAGCAATGTGGTCGTAAAATGCGACATCATGTGACCACGCCAACTTACAACAGCAGTTCTGGCACTTCCAGTTGCTGTCATTAAGCAAATCCTGTGCTGTCGTTAAGCGTGACATCACGTAGTCACCATTTGTGACCCACTCACTTTGCTTGTCAAGCCAGCAGTGAAGATCACAAATGGTGATCACGTGACTGCGGGACATTGCAACCACAGTAACTGCAACCCGGTTGCCAAGCACCCAAATCACAATAACGTGACTGCGGGGACACTGTGACAGCTGCAACTATGAAGACTGGTCATAAGTACCACTTGTTCAGTGCCGTCATATCTTTGAATGGTTGCTGAATGAGTGGTCACTGAGCGAGGACTACCTGTATAAGGAAGATGGTTCTACTGTGAGTCTCTCAACCGCTTTAACGCTCCAGTTGCTCCTTGCAAGGGCTAGATCATTTCCATTGCCACTGACTTCTGTTTTCAAGACCCTGTAGTCTTGTGTCTCCAATGTGGAATGGGGTGGGGGCAATAAGCCTAAGACATCTCCCTTGATCTCCCCATCCTATTTGACTTATTGCCCGCTTTGAGAAAAAAAAAGTCCTTTAAGTTCTTAAAAAAGAGAGAGAGATGGCATGCTACCAAGTAAAGCAGCAGCCTCCAGTATTATCTTTATTTCCAGAATACTTCTGGGTCTTATACAGGCCCTACAAGCTTTCTTAGAAAGTATGATGGAAGGCTACAGTCCCACCTGCCAAGAAAAGTAGCAAAGGTAGGTGGGCGTACCAAGGAAGGGAATGTTTTATTGGAGTAGAGCAGGGTTCCTCAACCTCAGCAACTTTAAGATGGGTGGACGTCAACTCCCAGAATTCCACCCATGACTGGCTGGGGGATTCTGGGAGAGTTGCGGCCACCCATCTTAAAGGTGCTGGGGGTGAGGAACCCTGCTCTACT